CACCCCCCCCGCCCGCCCCACTCCCGGTGCCCGTTCGAGCCGGCGGTAGCTCGGGAACAACTTTCCCCGGGACAGGCTCGCCGCCGCCCGGTCCCGGGCTTTAAACCCCGGGAGGTGGAGCCCCCTCGCCGCGCCCGGTCCCTCCCCCGCCGGACACACCCCCGCCCGCACCGGGCCCGGCTCGGGCCACCCTGTCCGGTCCTCGAGGTCCCCGCGGGGCTCCCGGTGCCGGGGAACGGCGAGTTGCCCCGGGGCGCGTCCCCTCGGTGGCGGGGCACGGCGGTCGCACCAGGAGGCTGCGGGATGCGCTGCCGCGGGCGGGGGTTCTGCCACGCTCCCGTCTGGGGCAGGGTCCCCCCTCCGGTTCCCCGGTCGTGCTCCCCGCGGCCCCGGTCCCACAGCACCGCACGGTTCTGCCAAACCAAACCACCCCAGCATCGGCACCCCGTGCTGGAACCCCAGTCCATCCCATACTGGGATGCACTGGTTGGGATTCACAGCGCCAGACCCAGTCCCAAGACACCCCTCACGGTCACAACACGTGTGACGGGGAGGCTCCTTTTTGGTTTGAACCCCTCCGGTGCTACCGGGATGGCATGAAGAGGATGGATTCTTCACTGTGAGGGTGGTGGAGCACTGGAACAGGTTGCCCAGGGAGGTGGTTGAGGCCCCTTCCCTGGAGATATTCAAGGAGAGGCTCGACGAGGCCCTGGGCAACTGGTCTAGTTGGGGGTGTCCCTGCTGACTGCGGGGGGGTCGGACTGGATGACCTTTGGAGGTCCCTTCTGGCCTGGGCAATTCTGTGATTCTATGATCAGGCTGCAGGAGGGCTGGGATGGCTCCCCGGGAGCTGTGATCCCAGGGCTCACCCCGTGCTCCTTCCAAGGGACTGCAGCCTCACGACTGTGAGTGACATCACAGCCCACACGGAGCAGGAATGATGGTAACACCTTTACTGCAGCCTATAACCACATCAGCCAGTCCCCAGGGGGCTGGGATGGAGAAGCGTGGATGGGAAAGGAGGGGTTTTGCAGCTGAACCTCATCCACGCCATGGGATCCCCCGGAGCCTGGCTGAGCGTCAGACAAGCGGTGTCTCCTTGGTGGGGATGCTGAGGACCACCTCCGTGTCTGGTGTGCACCTGGGAGAGAAATGAGAGTTAGGAGGGGAAAGAAAACAGTGGGAATAAGCCACCACGCTTCGTCCGGTTCAGTGTAAGGGGGAGGAGAAGCTCCTGCGTGGCCTGGGTGGGAGGTGGGTGGCTGCTTGGATGCTCTGTGGAGCCCACCTGGAGCTCAGAGGCATCCTGTGCCCTGCATGGCATCAGAGGGCACAGGGCGGGTGGAGGGAATCACAGAATCACAGAATCTTCTAGGTTGGAAGGGACCTTAAAGATCATCTTGTCCAACCGTCAACCTAACTGACAAAAATAGACACCCACACAACAAACAAGGAGCATCATCACTAAACCATACCTCCCAGCACTACATCAACCCGGCTTTTGAACACCTCCAGGGATGGTGCCTCAACCACCTCCCTGGGCAGCCCATTCCAATGTCTGAGCCCATTCCAATGTCTGAAATTGAAAACTTGACCATTTCACGGTCGCTAAGCCCAAGAAGCCTGCCTTGTGCCTGCTGTAGCACCTTCTCTGTGTCCCCAGAGTCCAGGACTGGTTTTTAGTGGGGAGGGCCCAGACACTTGTTCTGCAGCTGGGGGAGCAGCAACAAAAACCCTTTAAAAGCAGATGGGGGTTGCTGAGCACAGCCCCTGTTCAGCATGAACCAGAGCCCAGCCCGACCTCCAGCTCACCCCAGCACTAGTTTGCTTTTTGGCTCACCCATCATGGCCTACCCTTGGCCACCAAGCACTTTGCCTACAAAAGAAACCAGCTCCAAGCCTCAGCCCTGCTCCACAGCCCTGTCTCACACCGTGCTTGTGACAGAGCCCTCTGCAAGAAAGCCTTGCGCTCGCCGGCCTTCCCAGAGAGGCAGAGGCAGATGTAGCCCCTGGGGCTCTGAGAGGGAGAAGGAATGAAATTAGCCACCCCTCGCTGTCAATCTTGAAAGACAAACAAAAGTGGAGAAAGCCCGCCGGAGCAGCCAGGTACATCTGCTTTCTCGCAGAGAGAGGACAAGAACAGTGAGCTGGGCTTGCTCAGAGCTGGGCCCATCCATCTCCGTCTCAGCCCAGGACAAACTGTGCATCCAGAGTGCCCCCAGCACAGGGCTTGAAGCTGCTGGGGAAATCCAGCCAGGGCTCCTTGAAGCAAGATTTTTAAAGAGGGGAAACCGATGGGAATGGATACACAGTGGGTTATAGCTCCTCTGGGCTCCACACACAGGGACCCATGGAGGGCCTGCAGGAGTCCTGTGCTCACGCACACCCTTACACTTCCAGGCTGGGCCCAGCTCACGTCCGATTTCGCTCTTTCAGGAAGCAAATCCAGTGTCTGGAACCAAAGGGTTAATTAGAAAAACCGAAGGGCTGGTGAAGTCGTGTGAAAAGTTGCAGGGAGGTCAGTGGGAAAGGGCTGAGAGATGGCGGAGAGGGCTCTGGCACAGGCTCCCGCCTGTCAGGGCGGGTAAGCACCAAATGCCTGACTTGTGATGTTACAGAAACTTTCCACTTGGGCCTTCCTGCTATTTTTAACTCTTCTCCCAGCCACCCTCAGTAACCCCAGCCCCACCAGCTGTCGAGGCTAATTAATTCCCTCTTTTTATCATTTTTTTTTATCAGAAAAAAAAAAAATTAAGTCACACTAATCCATCACGCAGCCACTCGCCTCCCCCCGCAGCCTCCTGACACGTTCCAAGCTCTCCTCCCGCTTCGGCTCGTGCGTCCGCGGTGCTGCAGCCATACCTGGCTTCCAGCTAAAACCCAGGCCCCGCAGCAGGAGATCCAGCCCCTCTTGTCATCTGCACCACCATCAGTTTCCTGGGCGAGCACCCGCTCATCCCAAAGGATGATGTTTTCATGCAAAATATGCCCTGTGCACACGTGAGGTGCGGAGGAGCCGAGGGGCACCTGCAGGAGTCACTGGAAAGGAATGACGCCGTTAACAGACGTCCCTGTGCCAAGAACAACTTGTATAGGCAGTTGTGTAAATAAAAGCACATATGCACGCTGTTCCACACACAGCTTACGGGATTCGGGGTACAGCATACTCCAGATTTAAATGCATTTGACCCATTTTTTTTTCTCAGGTTTGCATCCCTGGTCAGCAGACGGCACAGAAAGCCAAGGAACCGCAGCAGCTCTGGTGATTTTTGTGATTTGTCCTGCCCTGGGTAGGGCCCTGCTGTCTTCACAGAGTGAAAACAACAAGGAAGTAAGAGTCAGTGTAGGCACAAGAGCCTTGAAAAGCTCTGCTGGTCCTGACTGGCCCCGGCTGCAGCCACTAATAATCTCCACTTTCAGGCTGCACAAAAGGAAGCCCAGGAGAGAGATGTGATGTGACCAAGGATCAGTGTTAGAGTTGTGGTTACTTCCTATCTGCTCTTAAGCAAGACCACAAGACCCTGCAGCTGTCTCCCCAAGCAGAACCCAACGTAACTATGGGTTTATAGCCCGGGCTGGACATCAGTTTAACAGTGACATCTGTGGAAACGATGGGGTAAGGTTATCAGCACTCAGTGCCAAAGCCTCTGCAGCCCAAGGCCTCAGAGAAAGGGCTGTGTGTGCCCACTGACCAGCCTTACTTCGGTCTGCGGAGAAAAACATCAGCAAAGATCAGCTCTCTTGGGTTTCTTGCACTCTGGCGGAGTGTCTGGATGTTCCTCTTCAGCTCATCGATCTCCTCCTCCAGGTGCGTAACAATCTGAACGAACGACATTTCTAAGAGTTCTTTACTTTGCAATAGAAGCAGGAATTAAAGTTTTAGAGATTTTGCAAACAGCAGAGCTAGAAAACATCCCTTGTGCAAATAAGCCACTAAGAGGCTTCCTGAAATACCTGCTGGACTGCTCACCCCCAGGACGTCCTAACAGCCCCCTGACTCCAGTGGAAATGGAAGGCAATGTACCCCACTAAGGCAGACAAAATCCTCAAGAAGGGCGAGGGCTGAGGGTGGCTGTCTCTGTTGCACTGTGTTGGTTCTTCCCCAGCTCACTCACCTCCCTTTGCCTCAGTACTCCACATTGCAGAATGTGGTTGTTTATCATCATCTGCTTCAGGCCATCCTGGTGCAGCAACTTCTCCTGTGTGGGTGAAAAGAAGAAAACCAGCTGCAAAAACTCTCCAGTAACCACCAGCATTAAACCCTGCCACTGCTGGCTGCCAGTGCTGGCTGCGTCCAGATGCATCACTCTTCACCCAGTAACCACCAGCACGAAACCCTGCCACTGCTGGCTGCGTCCAGATGCATCACTCTTCAAGAAAATAATTTCTTCTTATCAAGGTTTGGGTTCCAGCTCTAGAAAGAGACTGTCGTTGTGATAGCATTGTGCTGATAACGGGACGAGACTGAGGAACTCCAGAGATCCACTTCAATTTCTCAGGGAAAGCTTATTAATATTGCTTGGGTAACTTATATCACCTGTGCTTCCAAACTGACCTGTCAAAGGGTATGGCAGCTCTGCATCAGAGCAGGCTGTAAACAGTCAGTAGTTAATATTTCCTCAGTGCTCTCAAGCTGTTAACCCAGGAAAAGTGCTAAGAACATCATGAGAGCAGGAACTGTGCAACAGGAATTCCTCCTATTTTGGGAAGAACGACAGCAGCCCCTGCTCTCTAGTGCTGCATATAGTTTAATTTCCTCATGAATTTATTACAAACATATGTGCGTTGCCACAGCGGTGTCACAGCCAATTAGCCAGGCAGCTACCTAAATAATGTAATAAAACAGGGACTGTAAAAGCAGGGTGAATGTTGGGTCACAGTGTGCTCACCTCCACACAGCGAACTCCCAGGAGTGAGAATATTTCAACACATCAGGCTACAGCAGCATCTCAGACGTGCTTCTCATGTACCCTCCCAGCCTGACAAACAGCTCCACTACGGCATCGGGAGGGGAGCAGTGATGTTGTTACTCTTGGGGTCCTGGCTGCACCGTGCTACTGCTAATGGGTAATGTGTGGAAGGCCCTGCCTTGTCTCCCAGCTCACAGAAACTGATTCTCCTTGCTGGGACTTCACACGAACTCCACAAACCTCCACAACTTTCTGTAATAGCGCCTCTTGTTCTGCCTGTGCCTTCTCTTCTAGTTTCTCCAAGACGGCCTTCCCCATTTTTTCTGTCTTGTCTACCTCCTCCTGAAAGAGAGGGAACCAGTGCATAAAAAAACCCAGGAGCGTTAGGCACGATAACCATTGTGTTCCTTCCTCCCTTGCCCTCTCCTTCCCCCCTGGCAACGCTGCAGGGAAGGAGAGGTCTCAGCACCTGGTGCTGCTTCTTCAGGTTCTGGATGCTGCGCTGCAGAAGGACTATCTGGACATCTTGTTCTGGAAACTCCCCATCAATGTAGGTCCGGAGGACGCTGAGCTCATCCTGGAGAACCTGTACCTTTGAAGTGACATCCTCCAGTTGCTCCTGTAGCTCTGATAGAAAGTCATAAGAGAAAATTTCAACTCAGGGGGGTCTTGAGCTTCGCTTCTTCACTAAGGAGTCTGTCCTGAGTTTGCCTGTGTCCTTCTCCCTACATATATTAACACACCTCGTGGGGAGTGGGAACAGCCACCTCGAGTCAGACCACTCTGACCAGATCCTGCCCCGATGGGACAGTGCAAACAGCTGTCAAGGGGGACATTCTTCTACCCACCCCCTGCCCTGAGCACAGGCTGCTGGGTGTCACAAGGCTCTCCCGCTCCTGACAGGCTGACGGGAAGATCATCCCCATAGAGCAAATGGGATTCATTTTCAGAAATGGAATTGTTTGACATTTATAAGATCAACACAGTGTCTTTAACCTAGCAAGATGGAAAGCAAAGGTAACATGGTTGTATAGACTGCATTTCACAGTAATGTGAGCAACTCACTTCCCAGATTCCTTTCCATTGTTTTTTCCATTTCCTGGAGCTCTGCCCTTGCTGTGTCCAGCTGGTTCTGATTGAAGGTCTGCACCTTTGCCTTCATCCTCTGCACAGGGAGAAATCTAGTCACTGCTCATTCTGCAGAGCTCTGAAACATCCCTGTCATTCCTCTCATGCTGTTGCTTGCATTAGCAGCACAGAGGAATCCACTGCTGTGGCTAGTGCCAGCTCATGCACGGGAGCTGCTCCGGGGAGCAGAGTGGTGCTTCAGGAGCCAGCTGGAGCCAAGGACGTATTTGGGTTGTTACAGGGGTGACCACTGTTGCTTGGGACAGTTAAGAGTCAGGATGCTCTTGCAGCTTCAAAACACAAGCACAAAACAAGATCCCCTCACAGGATCTTTGGGCATCAGGGAGCTCCTCCCAGGACTGGGGGCCGGGCAGCACCTGAGCCTTCTCCAGTAATGGGAAGTTCTGCGTTCTGCTTAATTGGGTCTGTTGGCCAACGCTAAAGCCTCACCTGAAATACTTCATACTCCTGCAGCAAGACCTTTGCTTGCTTGGCAGTGGTGTCATCAGTGAGCTGGATGTCCTTAATCAGCCGGCTGTTGGCCTCTGCCAGGTGGGCACTGTGCTGCTTCAGCTCCTCGATGGCATTTTTCTTCATATCGGTCAGAACCTAGGGGAACAGGGACAAACCTGTTGGGGACTCCATCAGTCCTACCTGCCCCAAGTTTTCTTACTATCGTCTGCTGTCCCATGGTAACAGCACCAACAAGACCCTTCAGACATCCTGAAGCATCAGACAACAAACCTCAGCCTCGGTGCTATCCCAGCATCAGACAACAAACCTCAGCCTCGGTGCTGAGGCACTCTGACTTCCCCCACACAGCACACCCCTGCTCCCACGTTCCTTACTACCAGCTGCAGGATCACTGTCTCTTCTATAACTATCTTTTACCTACTAAAAAATTGTGGTTATGTCTTTCACCTCACCCTTCTCTTTGCTAGACTGAGAAAATCTGATAGCAATAGTCTTTTCTAACAGGTCACATTTCCTAAATCTCATCCCTCCTACTGCTACAGTCTGGCCTCGCTCTTGGTTTCTCTTAATTTTTCTTGATAGACAATATCGAGGTTAGATTTCACCAGCATTAAGCAGAGCAGCATCATTACCTCCAGTGTATTAATAAATAAACACATGCCATTTTGCAAGAGTGAGTCAGGCTGCTAGAATTTCCTCCATAAAGGCAACCAGGGCAACTGTACGGATTTGCTGCCTGCATCCCAGCACTGGATATTTGTGGCACGTACCGTGATAATTTTGATCTCTTCCATGGTTTTGGCTAATTCAGCCTCCTTGAGTGCTAATTTCTTCTGAGCAAAACTTGACAATGGCGAAGGCAGGGGTGGTTTTTTACTCAGCATAAATTCAACTGTTGAAATGAAAAAAGAGGCCTGTGCTTATTTCACAGTCCAGTTTCAACACCTTACATCTATTCTCTTCTGTCATATGTGGCTGAGTGAAATATAAAGAACTGAGAGCCCCAATTCAAATCTTCTGTGACTCCAGCAAAATTGGCTCACAGGTGCAGCCCGGGAGCTGAGCCCTGGTCTTTTCTAGTTCTCCCCCTTTATTCTCCATATTTCCCCTTGGGTAATTGTTTTTCTGTAGCTGCTGCTGAATGTCTCCCAGCAGAAAGCACTGGGTTAATGCAAAAGCAGCACCAGGGGGCAGGGGCAGCAGGGCAGTATATAAGGGAATCTCTCCCAACCTGGCTTGTTCTTCTCCCCTTTCTTCTTCTTGTCCTCATTGGTGAGCAGTGGCAAAGTCACCCTGCGGGGTGGAGATTTCCTCTCCTCTGCTTCTGTCTTCTGCCATTTGCTGTAATCCTAAACTCAGCATGACAGTAGCACAGAAAAGATGGGGAGTCAGAGGAGGTTTGTGAGCAGAGACCTCTCTGATGTGCCCCACAGTTCTGACTCCCCTCTGCATTTCCTCTGGGGCTTCCAGGTGTCCCTTTGTGCCCTTTACCAGCAGCAAGTCTTAGGTCTGTTTCAGAGATGCTGTGTTTGCAACCACAGTAGTGCAAGTGCCATAAACCTCACTGGAACAAGAGGCTTACCATTGTCTTGAACTCCTCCTGGCCCTGTGCATCCACCTCCACGCAGGCTCTGGAAGGAAAAAGCATAACCCCAGAGAGGAGGCTGAGCCCCGCAGCCCTGCCTGTCTCCAGGGTCAAGCCTCTGCGGGTCCAAAGTCAGATGAGAGGCAGTGACACCCCCTGGGCTATGGTACCCTTAGTGATCTCCACCATCACCTACCTCCCCTACCCACAGGGCCCTCCTACCCATCCTTCCTGCCCCATGGGGAGTCCCGTCCTCCCCCCACGCCCCACGGGGAGTCCTCTGCCTGTTCCCTATGGGACAAAGGAGCAGGCCGGGGGATATCCCATAAGGATTTTCCCTGCCCCCCCCGAGGATCTCCCATACCCCATGGCCCCCCGCCATCCTCCTGTCCCCCGGGGAACCCCGGTACCCCGCGTCGCCGAGACCCAGCCCCGGGCCGGTTTCCATGGAGACAGCCGGCGGGTACGGAGGCCGGGCGGGGCCCTGGCTCACGGGAAGGGGCGGGGGAGGGCGCCCCCTGCTGGCTCCGCTCCGGCGCCGCACGGCAGGAGCCCCGGGATCTGCACCGGGCTGGGCTCTAGGCCGGACCGGACCGGGGCCTCGGCTGCTTGCGGGGTGGCTGTGGGCTTGGAAAGGAGCAGACCCCGCGGCGGTAGCGTGGGGCGACCGGGAGAGCCCAGAGCAAGGCGGCCCCGGTGCACGAAGCCAGCGGGGCACGGAGGAGCCTTTGCGGTGCTAATGGGCGCTCACCCGGCCCCGCCCGCGGGAAGGGGTGCGAAGCCTTGTGGATGGAGAGGGAGATGGCCGGGCAGGTGCACGGAGTGCGGCCCATACGGGAGCTTTGTGACGGGTGCCCGGTGCCGGGCACGGGCTCCATCCACACCGGGCGGGAACAGCTCGGGCCTGCCCCATGCTGCCGGGCCCTGTGCGAGGCCCAGCGCGATGGGGCAGCCGCGGTTGGGGGGTTGTGTGGTGTTCCCTGGACAACGGGGCTCCGGAGGCTCGGGGCAAGCCCCGGGGCAGGCCTCAGTGCCAGGGCTAAGCCTCAGTGCCCGGGGCAGGCCTCAGTGCCCGGGTTAGGCCTCGGGCGGCGGCGCGGCCCCGGGCCCGGCCGGGGCCCCCTGTTACCACAGCAACTGGCGGCGGGCGGTGCAGCCAATGGGGGCGCGCCTTGCGGCGGGCCCGCGCGCGC